ATAAGCATAAATTATTTAATACAACATTAATCAGCAAAATTTAATATATATATATATATATGATTTAAAGTTTTAATATTTTAGGATATGCATGTCCAATTAATTATCCAACACACGTGCTAAATCATTTTTTAAAATTTGACATGCAACAGGCGTGTCCAACACGTGTTGGACGAAAAAATCTTTTTATAGAGAAGTGTTGGTATATATTGCATAGACTATCATGATTGTTTAGGGTTTTTATGATAATAAAGCATGGTTCAAGACTAGCTGGTGACTTATGACATAACTAATGATGCTAGAAAAGAATTTCATTTGAAAAAGAGAACCAATGCATGCGAAGAGCTCTTTATCACATGAGGAAGAATACAATGACAGCTGAAAATATGGATCTATGGCTGCGTGGCCGACCGACCACATTCAGATCATTGTTCGGATGTGCCGTCAACCACATGTAATAATTTTCTGAGAAGCAGGGACATACTAATCAGTCAGAGCACTTGCAATTACGTGAAATGAGAGATGGTACAATACGCCACGAGGTTCAGTAGTTCGAATTGCTGACATGTTAGTAATTAATTCCAGTTTACCCAATTTAATTAAGACTACTTATTGTTGTGTAGTTATTCATGAAAATACAAATTTAAAATAGGTTTATTCAAAAATCGAGTCAACTTTTGGTTACCATGTGCAACTTTTAATCGGACATTCTTACGAAGAGTGCAATAAGTGCTTCATCTTTATTAATTTAATAAAAGACCAACATAAGGTTCCTTTATAATGAGCTATAGTTCTGTATGCTTTCAAGCTTTCAGTCAGAATTAAAAATGTTCATATGAAATTGAATCTGTCATTAAAAAATTTTTATCATCTAACACAAATCTTAATCAATGTATTTTTTAGCAAGAAATATTTTAAATTCAAATTCAAGATCATCCCGCCTCAAATTTAGCAAGTTTATAGTGAAATTGAGTGTTTTGCCTAAAGAAGCCCAACAACTCTATAATTAGTTCAATCCATATCTAATCGGGCCAAGATCAAGCAGTTGAGCACATTTGGAAGCTCTAGATGGTCAATTGAATGGTTAAATGACCTCCAAATTTGACATATGTAGAGTCGAATTGAGTGTCTCGACGATAGTAATTCAATGAGTTTGATAAAATTGTTTAATTTTGAGATCATTAAGGCACCCAAATCCTTATAAAATCACCTATGATTAAGAGGGATCAATATGGATTGTTTCGGTTAAGCGATTAGTTAAGTTATGTGCCACGAGAGAGGGGGGGGGGGGGGGGGGGCGGGGGGTCGGGGGGGGGGGGGGGGCGGTGTGTTTGAGAGGAGACTTGACGAGTAATCATTTGCCAACATTCAAGTCTCTAACCATCTTCAACAACAGTCCACAGTCGACAACCACTGGAGATCGACAATCACTACTTGCAACTATTGTAGCCAAATTACGACTGTTGTTGAATTTCTCAACAGTTGTATTTTTTTAGCTAAATAAAGATAAGTGTCGTTTTTAGTGTATGATTGTAACTTCGTTCTCTCTATCATGAGAGAAGAGCATACGTTTGTACTTCCGAATATATTGTGGATTATTTTAACTAGACCAGACTCCGTGATTTTTTTTCTCTTTCCTCGAATTTTTCATGTAAAAAAATTAATTTGTCTTCTCTGGCTACTTTTCTTTTATCTGTGTGTATGTTAAATATTCGTATGACACAAATTTTCCATCACATATTTTAATATATATCTTCTTGCCACCTTATTCATTTATCTCACACAGAAAAGCAGTAAATGTCTCCAAAAATCATCTTTATCTATTTTACTACATTCTATATTATTATGATAAAGACTTTTTAATTAATTGTGCAAATATCTGAACAACTACAAGAAGGTGAGAGGGTACGGGATAGTTGCCACTCTCTTCTTCACCAGATGAACATTCCATATAGAACTAGCCTCCAGTCTGCTTTTAATAAGCGAATTAAAGGAAAAAACTTGTTATCATTATTTTCTAAGAGCAATTGATGGAGCAGCGCAATATAAATTGAAAAAGCTGACTAATAAATCAATCAAAATCGTCCTCCTGATAGATTTATTTAATATAATGGACATGCTTTGCAAGGGTGCAGAGGGCATCTTCGAATCTGATTCCTGTACGGTTATGTTCTCATATCTTTGCGAGACCCTGCCATGATGGATTGAATTCATGTGCTCCTCATCAAAATCAAAGCGATAAAGGTTGGATAACTACATATTTGGGGCTCTGCTAAAATTCCACAATATCTCTTATTTGTTGCTTCAATGAAAAAGAGAAAGAGAAGACAGACCAACAAATAAAGCTAAAGCTGCTTCTACTATGCCTCTCTCTCTCTCTCTCTCTCTCTCTCTCTCTAGTTATTAAGTTTATGTAGACACAAAAGTAAAGCCTCATGCAAGTTGGGAGCCTCTGTTATTCAACTTAAAGGTATAATCTCCAATAATACAAGATACATAGAAGAGGACAAGTCTTCACTTCGATTTTATTGGATGAAAAATAAATACAGTAGCTCATTTGTTTGTTCAAAATAAATAAATAAATAATTAATTAATTAATGATTATTATTTTTCATTAATTTCTAGTGTAAAAATGAAAATAATATTATTTTAATTAATAATGATTTATTAAGATTATATGTACAAGTACGGCAAATACATATATGAGCACAGACAAGTTGAAGAGTGGACCATGAAGAAACACCCCGGAAGCAGAACAACCGCAAGCAGTTGCACCTCCTTGCAGGCACCCATGCGACTGTGATGATGTGGTCATACCCAATTTGGACGTAGCTGCGCCGAGCAGCTTACGTAACCACACCGCAACGGACATAACTATGTTGAGATGTTTCAAATCATTCGCTTCTTTCCCAAAACCATGCACAAAATATTTATGTCGCTACTCAGTGTAGGGTTGTAAGTGATTCAAGCCAACTCGTGAGCCGGCTTGAGCTCGGCTCGATAAGTGACTCGTGAACTAAGCTTGATGAGCTAACAAGCCAAGCTCATGCTACTCCCGACTCGACTCGCTAGCTCGTGAGCTAGCTAGTTTAAAAAATATTAATATGAAGTTACTCAAAATATAATAAATTTAAAGACTTTATCTTTGAAGTATTAAAAATATTTTAAAAAAACATATTTTGTATATTATATGATGTAATTTTCTATTATTTCTTTCCTAATTGCTCATTCTATATGTCATTTTATTATAACATTACTTTAAATTAATATTATTTTTTCTCTTTAATAATAAACAAGTTTGCTCGTGAGCCGATTCGACCTCTTAGTCTTAAGCTCGAGCTCGAACTCGAACTCGAACTCGATAAAATTAATCAAGCTCAAGCTCAAGCTCAAGCCAAGAGTGGCTCGAGCTCGACTCGGCTCTTTTACACCCCTAACTCAGCGTGGTTTGCCGTTGGGGCAGTTGATTTGCTTTTGGTTTTTAAGCCTTCGATTCGAGGGATGAAGTGATGCTATCTCAAATGCGTCATTTTCGATAGGCTTCTCAAGAGGTAGAAAATGGTTGAGAGAGAGAATTTCAACAAGAGCCTTCTTTTTGGGAGATTATGAGAAATTGTTAGAGAGAGAAGTTCTTTAAGTTTTTATTGATAATAGAGAAAAGCTCTCAGTGTGTATTTCTTAACAATTATGATTCTTTATAGAAAAAATTTCTTGGTGGTTCAGTTCCATTATTTATTCCCCTTCTCAAGTTTTTTTCTCACAAGTCCTCGTATGTTTTCAATGGAATTATTTTTTGTTATGGTTTTGCTTTTTTTATTTTATTCCTAATTCCCAGAATTTGTTGTGATTCTACTCCACATTATGGTTGTTTATTTCTAATTGATTGAACCTTAAGTGTATATTATGACCGCAACAAGAATTTTGTGTGTGTTCTAAATATGGAAACTAATAAGTTGAATTGAGTTCATATGCTAAAGTGACTGAATCGAGTTCACATGCATAATGAAGAGGCTGAATCACTTCTCTACAGAGGAAGTGACATATGCCCACCTAGTAGGGATAGCTATTAGGGAAGATCATCATTAATATAAAATTACTATGAAGAACACAGGTTCAACCTCTCTTAAAAGGCACCGCCTCACATCCATTCCTTAGTTTTTTCATTAAGACATCATGTATTGGTGTGATACTTTAGAAATTGATTTTTTTTTTTATAAAACGGTAGATAAGAGGAGAGAAGAGAGTTTTGGACCTCGTTCCAAAGTCTTTCTCCCTCTTTAATATTGTAATTAAGAAAACTTCATATGAGCAATTTTTTCGGACTTGTCTAAGGAAAAAACTCAAAACACGATCCTTGAGACTCTCTCTCAAATCTCACCACCATCTGTCTCACTTTTACCATTCATCCATGATTACGAGGTCTTTATTAAATTGTATGTACTCGCAAGCAATATTAGATCCTCCACTGTAAAACATTCAACAAAGATTTTTAAATATTTTAAATCAATATTTGTGTCCAAATAGTAAGTTTGAAAAGAATAAACAAAACAACAAAAACGTCCCCAATGAGATTAAATATATAGAATCATGATCATATTTTAACAATGATCCAAGAAGCCTAATGAACAAGAACTTTAATAATCGAACCAAAATCAAACTAATAATTTGCTCCTACTGTTGGAATGGAAAAGCTTTTAGGAAATGACAAAGGCTAAAAAACAACTTATGGAAGAAGCTTCACTCTTGTTTAACACCTTAACTTGGCTTGATACAAACTCAAAGACTCCACCCCTATTTATACTAGTGGCACCTCCTAAATTAATGGCTAAGATTGTGCCACCACAATTACAATCCAATGGTTACAAATAATTCCACACCTACCACACAATAATTCAACACCTACCACACCTACCACACCTACTACACAATAATTTCATACCTACCACATATTCTAGAATAAGCTTATAGAAATTAAGCTTTATTTAAACAACTAAAACAAGTTTATATTTCAACACCCCCTCTTAAACTTGATTTTGTGACTCCAAGCAAACTTCTCATTTTAATAAAGTCTTCACTCTTCAGTGGCTTGGTAAAAATATCTGCAACTTGGTCTTGAGACTTCACGTACTGCACTTGTACCTCCCTTCTTTCGATGCGTTCTCTGATGTAGTGATAACACATATCAATGTGCTTGCTTCTATCGTGGAAAACAGGATTCTTTGCTAGCGCGATTGCAGACTTGTTATCAATACAAATCTTAATCGCCTCTTCTTGTGGTAAACTTATCTCCTTTAATAAGTTTCGAAGCCAAATTGCATGACAAACACATGAGGTTGCAGCCACGTACTCTGCTTCGCAAGTAGAAAGAGTGACAATTGGTTGTTTCTTTGACATCCAAGTGAAAGCAGTGTCTCCTATGAAGAACACGAACCCTGTAGTGCTCTTTCTATCATCCATATCTCCAGCCCAATCACTGTCGCTATATCCTACAAGCTTGAAATTGTTGGATGATGAGTAAAATAAGCCAAAATCAATTGTACCTTTGATATAGCGCATAATTCTTTTAGCAGTCTTCAGGTGGGTAACAGTCGGAGTCTCCATGTAGCGACTAACAAGTCCAACAACATAAAGAATATCAGGTCTTGTGCATGTTAAGTAGCGCAAACTTCCAACCAAACTCTTGAAAAATATTGGATCAATTCTTTTTCCCTCATCAAACTGTGATAGCTTGACTCCACATTCTACAGGAGTTTTTATAGATTGACTATTCTCCATCTTGAATTTCTTCAATATCTCACTTGCATAACCTTCTTGTGAGATGAAGATCCCATCTTCCATTTGCTTGACTTCAATGCCAAGGTAGAATGCCATGAGCCCAATATCTGTCATTTCGAACTCTTTTGTCATTGCTTCTTTGAACTTCTCAAACATGCTTGGATTACTTCCTGTGAAGATCAAGTCATCAACATATAAACAAACAATCAAGACATTTTCATCCTCATTCTTGATGTAAAGAGCATGCTCATAAGGACACTACATGAAGCCTTTCT